CAATGCCTTTAGAAGGCACAGCACAAATTTGAAGTCGGTCGGACTAAATCCCTAGGAGGAGTTCGTTAAAGTACGAAGTGTGTAAATCATCCAAAATTTGACGTAAAATTCAAAATGGCCGACTTCCTGTTGATTTTAGGGCATCGCTCCAAGAGGCTTTTTTGTGCGTCTGGACAAGATACACGTACCACAGAAAATTCGTGCACGTAGGTAAAACGTGCGGCGGGGGCTGCTTCGTTAAAAGTCACTTCCTGTTGCCAGCAGGTGGCGCTATGACTGTCTGTGAATGTCAGCATGTACATGTGTTCAGGGCGGGACTCTCATCCTACATGTACAGTTTGGTCCAGATGTGAGCATGTACACTGAAGTTACGACAACTTCCGTGTCATGGCGAAGAGCTGATCTTTGACGCCACGCCACGGACACGCCCATTGACGAAAACTTGCAAATAGCACAACTTTTCATCTTCAATGCCTTTAGAAGGCACAGCAAAATTTGAGGTCGGTCGGACTAAATCCCTAGGAGGAGTTCGTTAAAGTACGAAGTGTGTAAATCATCCAAAATTTGACGTAAAATTCAAAATGGCCGACTTCCTGTTGATTTTAGGGCATCGCTCCAAGAGGCTTTTTTGTGCGTCTGGACAAGATACACGTACCACAGAAAATTCGTGCACGTAGGTGAAACGTGCGGCGGGGGCTGCTTCGTTAAAAGTCACTTCCTGTTGCCAGCAGGTGGCGCTATGACTGTGGGTGAATGTCGGCATGTACATGTGTTCAGGGCGGGACTCTCATCCTACATGTACAGTTTGGTCCAGATGTGAGCATGTACACTGAAGATACGACAACTTCCGTGTCATGGCGAAGAGTTGATCTTTGACGCCACGCCACGGACACGCCCATTGACGAAAACTTGCAAATAGCACAACTTTTCATCTTCAATGCCTTTAGAAGGCACAGCAGAAATTTGAGGTCGGTCGGACTAAATCCCTAGGAGGAGTTCGTTAAAGTACGAAGTGTGTAAATCATCCAAAATTTGACGTAAAATTCAAAATGGCCGACTTCCTGTTGGGTTTAGGCTATGGCTCCAAGAGACTTTTTTGTGCGTCTGGACAAGATACACGTACCACAGAAAATTCGTGCACGTAGGTGAAACGTGCGGCGGGGGCTGCTTCGTTAAAGGTCACTTTCTATTGCCAGCAGGTGGCGCTATGACTGTGGGTGAATGTCGGCATGTACATGTGTTCAGGGCGGGACTCTCATCCTAGATGTACAGTTTGGTCCAGATGTGAGCATGTACACTGAAGTTACAACAACTTCCTGTTTCATAGCGAATCATCGACGCCACGGACACGCCCATTGACGAAAACGCGCAAATAGCACAACTTTTCATCGTCAATGCCTTTAGAAGGCACAGCAGAAATTTGACGTCGATCCGACTAAATCCCTAGGAGGAGTTCGTTAAAGTACGAAGTGTGTAAATCATCCAAAAATGGCCATAAAATTCAAAATGGCCGACTTCCTGTTGACTTTAGGCTATGGGTTCTTGAGGCTTTTTTGTGCGTCTTGACATGATACATGTCCCCAGAAAATTTCGTAGATGTAGGTTGAACGTGAACGAGGGGCTAATTTTTTCCAATTTTCTAGGTGGCGCTAGCGAGTCATTTTGCAACGCCCATGTGCGAAACTTGTAGAATACGAAATTTTTCACCGGTTCTGACATGTTTGCAAATTTTGGTGAGTTTTCGAGTATGTTTAGGCCATGTCATTTGGGCCTACTTTGCAGAAAAAAAAAAAAAAAAAAAAATATAAATAATAATATAATCCGAGCAAATTCAATAGGGACCTCGCACGGTCGTGCTCGGGCCCTAATAATCCGAGCAATTCAATAGGGACCTCGCACGGTCGTGCTCGGGCCCTAATTAAAGCTGCAAGCAGCGTTGGGCGGGCCCTCGCACTTGTAGCGCGTCCGCGCGTGAGCCGGCCGAGTTGCATATTCTGGAGCTCTGCCGGTGCGGCTGTGAATTTCCTACGCGGTTCCGACGCCGCATGAAGGTGTTATATGTCACTTCCTGTGTCCCCTATGTGGAGCTACATAGCACTTGCCGCTATGAATATAAATCGGTATTGGTGTGTAGATGTCTGCGGGGTGGAGAGTTATCAAGCACGTAAAGTTTGTTTCAGATGTGAGCATGTACACTGAACAATAATGTACCCAAACAATAAAATAAATTCCTTTTATATTTCCCTGCCTTGTTGTTTATGTGTACATACAGAGGAAGAATGTGAGAACAGCGCACATTTCATCGTTACTGTGTGTTAGAGCATGGGAGAACAGTGGATATTTTAATACAGCCCACACCCCTAATACTGTGTAACTATAACAAGTAGGGAACAGAAGAAAAAGATGTTCTTTCTTTACAACTGTCTGCATAGCTTATTCATATTGTGTAATGAATGAAAATAAATAGGCCTACTAGGCTCCTCTCTACTTTGACATTTAAGATTAGCTTGTTTGATCCACCTTCATACACATGTGACATTAAAACCAGTATACAAGACACAGTGACAGCAGTCAATCTAACCATGTCTGTTGTCTGTCTTGTTTCCTCCCCCCCATAAGTACATATGTATGATCAAATAGTATTAATAATAGTAATCATAGGTAGACAGTAAGCACTTTCAAGAAATGAACAAAAGAAATGTTTAATAGAATAACAACAGAAAAATATACATATGAACAATATGTACAATGTGAAGAGATGGCCTTAGAGGTCTTCGTCTTCTTCTGTGGTGTCCTTGGTGGCCTCTCTCATATCTGTATATAAGTAGACAAAATACATGCAATCAAAAAAAAATGTTTTTATATTAGTCTACTAATTCAAAGAATGTGCAGAAATAGCGAAATAGGGGCAGAGTTGTTACAATATCAGTCATTGTTTTCAAATAGAGCTACTTTTGGGCAAATACTGCTGGGGAAACAGAAACCAAATAATGTTAAATGTCATGCGCCACTGACTTACTTCAGCCCTTTAAAATCAGCTTTCATTTGTTCAAAAGATAAATATATTGTGTTCAAAATTGTGTGCCTCTCAGTGATCCACAACCATAAAGCTATGGATGTATTTTGTAATTTCCAGCAGCAACACAGACAAGTTGTAGTCAATAGAATGAACAGTTTTTGAGTTAATCAAAATTCAGACAGACATACACACACACAGGCATGCACACACACTTATTCCTTCCTTTATTCAAGAGATGTAAGGCAGTTCATACTCTGCTACTATATAGAAAAATTTACCATCCAAACAGCAAGTGAGGGATGCTTGGAGCACGTCGTTGTCTTCACGGGCCTTTTCTAATTTGTTTTTCAGTGTGCTGACTTCTGCCTCTAGTGTCGCAACACGTGTCTTCCACAAATTGGCCCTTTGTTCGCTGGCATTGAGGAGGCGCTCTTTTTTGGCGAGTAGGTCCATTACCTTATGGCTGGTATTGAGGGACTGCCTGTATAGGTCTTCCCGCTCAGCCAGTGCATCCAGGCATTTATACTGCAAATACAATAAAACAAATGTTCATATCTATAATGCAACAATCTAAAAAAGTGAAAGGTGATTATTCAGAGAATGTGCAGTATACTAGGTCTTGCTTTGATGGTTTCTGGTTTTGGAAATCAAAAGTTAACAACAAGAGTAACGTCGAGAAATATTTTTCGTCTGTAACAAAGCTACTGTTATATCTAGCTGCATGTGTTCCTACCAGTCTTACCAGTCTTGCATTGACATTCAAGAAGTGTTGATATCACAACGTTAACCTTAGTGAGCCATAACAGTAACACAGGTATAGTGTTGACACAGTCTCATGAATTCATCCCACTGGATACGTACAGTTAATAGTTGGAGTGACTGCCTGGCCTCTTCTGTTTCACCGTCCTTCACGTTTCCTCTAGGTAGTTTAGTTGGTGATGCCATATCTGGTTTAAGGGCACATAAAGTGAAAATTAAAAGTGGCCCAAAAACCCAGCTACAAGCACAGTTTCTTGTAATGTATATGTTATCTTCAGATATTATGCCAAGGACAATTTAAGTTAAACAGCTTGTTGTAGTGTAAATCCATGACCTACCTCAAAATGTAATCACTTAAAATGTCCAAGTTTCGGCAGGGAACTGTTCAGTTGGAGCCTGGTAGTCCTTCCTGTAGCAGTGTGGTCCGTGTGCAAGAGTAGTGCGACACACTTCACCTTTAAAGTACATTGTGACGTGTGTCGTGTGGCGATTGGCTGACGTGGACAATGGTGTCCCATGCTGACAAAGAAAAGCCAGTTTAAGCAATCACCCCTTTCAGTCCAAGACTGTCTTGGTCTTTTGTTATGTAATTCACACCAAATTGCTGTTGGTGCCTGAATATCTTCTAATACACCTAGAATACAGCTGTAATTGTAAATGTGATGAAAAGAAACCGATATACAACAGTTATTACACAATCTTTCAAAAATATACCAGGCGAATGTCCATGTTTTGGCCATATTTACTGCTTATATGTTCAGTTTTATTGGTAGTTGTCTTCAAAACATTATTTCTCTCCATACAACCAAGTTCCAAATAACATAAAGCTTCCAAAACATTGAAAAATTGTCAAAACAGTCAATATAAATGACCAAAAGCACTCCCATGCTTTACAGAACAGAACATCGTACAGGGGCTGTGGGTGTGCTGATTTTGTTCGTCTCGACGAGACGATTTCAGGCATATCCTGCATGTCGGCTCTCACACCCCATGACACAAACAAAACTTTAGACCGCAGCCGACCTGACCAAGATGGCGGCCCGCCAGACGATCTGTGACGACACAAAGCCCCGCAGTTTGTGGACTTTCTGGTCCCTGGTTGCGCGCGCAACGCGGTGATGACGTTGGAAACTCCCCCGTCTGACGTCACTGATAGGTTGGCCCATTACAAACCCAGATGGCGCGGGCGGGCACCCTCTGTAGCTTCGTCGCGGTTCGAGAGAACACAGTGATTTAGCTGCTCCTACTGCTTTCATAGCAAATCCTGTTTCGCAGACGCTGTAAAGCTTTCAGTATCATCTCCGAGGAATTATTGTGGACTTCTGCAAGGTGAGTGTGATTTCTAACAGAGTAATTAGCGTGGTAACGTGAGCTGTGTACGTTAGACATTGACTGTAACTAGTATTATTAGCGCGCCTGTGAGGAGGTCCGCCAAATAAAGACAGCTTGTTACCGTTTGAGTTCAGTAGCACTTGCTGAAGATAACATTGTGTAGGCTACGTAGCGTTAGCAGCTGTTGTTGCTTCTAGCTAAAGCTAATGTGTTGTTAATACTTTGTGCATGTGATAGACTGTTACTATGAGTACGAGTGTGTTTTGTTTATCATTCCATGTGTTTTCAGATGCCACGCGGGAAATCCCACCGTCGTGCACTCGCTGCTTCGCGCAGGGAGGCTGCGAAGAAGGCAGACACACAGATGTTGGAGTATCGCAGGGGGCTCCCCCCTGACTTTGTTGGATGTAAGTGGCCAAATGATGTAATCTATTCTATACTTTGTCATTTCAAAACGTCTGTGGCTTGATGATAAAAGTGAAGTTTTTACCTGAATATTTATAAAGTTGCTGTGAGGCATGTAATTGTGTTGACATAATTCATGATTTGTTCAAACCATTAACTGTACATTTCTTTCCCTTTATCTGTCTCATAAATAGGGGAGGGCACTGGGATGCGCCACAGGGTTCGCAAATGGCCTATTTCTCCCCACACCAATAGGCAGCACAAACTGGTCATTCCAGCTGTTGCTCCTGGCAACAAGGTAATTATGTTGTACTTTGTAAACTTCATCCTTGCTGAGACAAAGAGCTTATAATATTGTTGGTAACATGTCGTCTTTGTCTTTTTCACAGTTTGTTCTTGTGGTTGGAGACAGTCATCTGCGTGCTTTCGCAGATGACTTTGTGGCCATCCCACCGGGAATCCTCTCCTTTGGGTTCATGTCTACTCCAGGCGCGTGTGCTGCTCAGCTGAGGACAGAGTTGGTGCAGGCTCCACTCCCGTGTGTTCCTGATGTTGTCTGTGTCCTTGCTCCCAGCAATAACCTCACCGCCAGCCGGACGTCTTGTGAGGCTGGGCAGGCCTTTCACGCCCTCCTCCGAAGTGCTTGTGAACTCTTTCCTGACGTAGGTCCTTCTTATATATTGTCCTCTGTATAATCTGTTTGTTACTACAGTTATAGATATTGATTGGGTGTTGTGATTAACAAAGTATTATTATGTGCAGGTGTTTGTCTTGGACTTTGTTCCACGTCTGACAGTTGCGCCTGACGTACAGGAAGCGTTTCGTCATGAGTTCCACAGAGTGGCAGCAAGGATAGGTCGGTTTCAAAGTTGATTTTAGTATGGCCAATAATGATGATGCTTTTAGGAAATGCAGCCATGTATTCCAACGATTCATATTGGGGTTGTCTTTGTTTTAAGGTCTCAAGTACTACTCCTATTCTGACAAGTTCCCCCTGAACGATCGCTCTCTGTGGAGCCGAGATGGCGTAAGTACAATATGTATTAAATAGGGATGGGGGGTAATACAATTCTATGTGGTCCAATTCATAGAAAAATGTTGACAATGACGACAAACTTCTTCCTCTGCTTCGATTATTTGTTGCAGATCCACTTGAGTGACGACCACGGCATGCTTGTCCTCACTGACGTGCTGTGGAATGCTGCTTTGGAGCATGTGCAGTCGTCAGCGGCTACCCAGCAGCAGCCTGCTGCTGTGCCGGCTCGTCCTGCAGTACCATCTCCTCCTCGGGTCCGGCCACTTGTGGTTGTGCATCAAGACGACCGTGTGCGTCGCCAGGAGAAACCTAAACCTCATCCGGATGTTGATGGATTCCTGCCAGTGGAGGGCAGGAAGGTAATATTTGCGCGCTGACATTAAACTGGCACCTTGTTTCTGTGGTGGCAAAAGTAATGTATTGTAATGCAAGGTGTTTTGTCTTATGCAGAGGAAGACATCAGGGGAAGCTTCCTCAGGTGTTTCCCAGAGGACGGCACAAGAGCAGGTTTGTTTTGGTCTTGTGCTTTTATATTATCAGAAGATGCATTTAGACTAGGAATTAATGGTGTTTGTGTTTTTTTTCACAGGCACCTATACGACTTCGCGAGTGTTTTATCGCCCTGAATCCTGTACGGTTTAGTGAGTCCATGTTGGCCAGGATGGACGTGCTTGTGCCGTCCCATCTGCCTGGCCATGAGGGTCTTCCTGGTCCACAAGCCAAGGTAATTTTACATGCACATTCAAGCTTTTGCTTTGCCCCTTCCTCAAACATTAACAGAAGTCAGTGTTTGTAATGTAAGATGGAGGTATGTAGCAAATATAATTGCTTGATATGCTGATGTATGTTTTTTGTCTTTACTTCAGAGGGCCCGATCGGGACCTCGGCCACAGCGAGTTGCCTCACAGAGGAGATCTGCTAAACGCCAGGTTTGTCATCATTTTCTTCAAGATTTAATTAATTGAACATGTTAGTCCAGTGTGATGCAATAAAGTATGATATCGTACTTCCATCATTAGAAAGTCAAAGAAAGTACTTGTTTGTTTATGCTACTCGTTTTTGAAGGTTGAGGCAACTGCCATTGTTGTGGAGGTGTGTCCCAGGCCCACACCTGCCAGACCCTCCAATATAGCTACAGAGGAGGATGTTAGTAAATATTATGTGTGTATATTATTATTATTTTTCAAGGTTTCTAAATGGCTCTTTTGTCTTGTGTTCAGGAGTCGGCACCCACCCGCCCGGTTTACGAGTTGGCAGAGATGTCCCCTGACACGCCTGCTGCCTCAGAGGACCAGGTTAGTGGGGTTTTATGTGAAATGTTCTCATATTTGTTGTGTTCAAGGGGAAAAAACTGAAGAGTATGACATGAGGCACAGTTTAGTGTCATTGTGTGTAAAATATTGTTTTCCCTCTTTTCTTATAGGTTCAGGAGCTGGCACCTTCCCTGCTGACAGAGTTGCCAGAGATGTCTGCTGGCCAGCCTGCTGATGTGCGTGACAACCAGGTCAGTGTGTTTTTATATTGCAGCTCTACTTTAACTGCTGCAAACTGCATGTCCTCTGAAATGTAATTTTCCTGGTGTTGTATGGGTTGATGTTTATATACAGGTCAGTAATGTTTTAATATCATTGTTTAGGACCAGGCAGCGCCTGCCTTGGTGTACGCTATCCCCAGGACAACACCTGCCACCGCTGAGGTTGACAAGGTTGGTGCACTGTATTTGAAATATTACACAGATTGTAACAATGTCTCAAAAATATTTGATACAGACAAATCATAAACACATGATTAATAAGTATGTTTAATTTGTTTCCAGCACCTCTGTGACGGCAAGACACACGCTGCTCCTCCACCTGTGATCCGTGCTGCTGCTGCTGGGCCCTCTACAGGTCACGTGAGCAATGACAGTGTCTTTTCTATTGTTGAAGGGTCATTTCATCAGGGTGCTGAATTCCTTGGTAGCAACAGAAACAAGCAGTGTGCCACAAACAGTATTTCAGCCATGATGACACATGTTAAAAAGAGCTTGCTAATCTGGGATAAAGATGATGTCGACGACATTTTGTTTGAGGGTAATGACATGTACAGTTACATGTTGCAGCATAATATGATAAGTGCTTCTGAGGGGAGTGGTTACATTTTGGTTAATGAACTGCCAAAACAGTATGACATAAAAAAACAAAATTTAAGATGGAGTACTTGCCGACACTGACGGGAATAATTGGCGTTGATGTATATGACCCCGCTGTACAACAGTTCGCAATGCCTTTGGATGTAGCATTTCAGACAGCGCTAATTCAAGCAGACGCATGTCTGCTGAACATTAGAAGTAACATCTGTGCCGTCTTTAAAGTAGGACAGACTGATTCAGAAAACACAATTAGGTTTGCCGTGTTTGACCCACACGCTCGCAGCAGTGGAGGGGCTTTGGATGTTGATGGAACAAGCATGCTGTCTCTTTACAATAACTTGGAGTCATTGCACAAACACATCATAAGTCTTGTAAACTCTTTGTATACTGATGATCTCACTAGTCTCAAAATATTTGAAGTAACTCCGGTTACTGTTTCTGTGGTTAGGATCCTGAGTTGTCCAGAAACTGCCTTTGAAGATATTGACCTGATGCAGCTGAGTGGAGACTGTGCTGCTGCATGTGCAGACACAGTCTCTGAGGTTAATACTGTATCAGTTGTTAATATGGATCAAATGCCAGTGGATGGAGATTGCGTTGACAGACATGGGTGCACTGTCAGTCAAAAAGGTAGAAAGCAGAAGATTCCAATGGCAACATCAAATAAGGTTAATAGCAGTGAGTTTAATTCAGATGTTGTATTTGTGAGTGTCACAAGTAAAGAACTGCAGTTTAATCCTCTTTGTAATGATGTTGCACGAGCTCTGTGCACACAGCTGAATGTAGTGTCAGAGAAGGTTGATGTAGTACTTTCTTCTAACGTTGGTGTGTTGGGGGCTCCGTGTATGAATGATAAAATAGTTGGTGATGGTAACTGTTTTTTTAGGGCAGTCAGTCAAGCTGTGTGTGGCACACAGAAGTATCACAGAAAAATTAGACTCGCTGTGGTTAAGCAATTGGAAAGCAACGCTGTGGCATACGAGAGCAGTTTGGATAGTAACTACTCCTCAATGGCAGAATACCTCAGCATGTCAAAAATGCAGTATGTGAACAGATGGGCAACACAAGTGGAGATTCAAGCAGCAGCGGATTGGTTAGGAGTAAATATATTCACATACTGTAATAATCGCTGGTATGAGTATAGTTGCAAGAATAGACAGTTGTCCAATCAGGGATTGTATTTGGAAAATTGTAATGATAACCATTATGAGAATGTAGTTTGTGTTCAGCAGCCGAACACGCAGAGCTGTTATGGTTACTGCAAAGTGACTACGATTTCTTCCAGAGGATATAATGTAGAGGCAGGCAGGCAGGCAGGTAGAGCTCAAAGTAGTTGTAGCAGTAAGTCGGAGGTCCAGACACAGAGTACAGCAAAAGTTAATAATCGTATTTCTACGTATTTGCTAAAGAAAAAGAGATTCCAAATGAAAATGATTTATCAGGAGCATAGGGAGAAGGTTATTGGAAGGATTAAGAGTAAGTATATCAAGAGAAGCCGTATAGGGAGAAGGTTATTGGAAGGATTAAGAGTAAGTATCATCAAGAGAAGCCGTATAGGGAGAAGGTTATTGGAAGGATTAAGAGTAAGTATCATCAAGAGAAGCCGTATAGGGAGAAGGTTATTGGAAGGATTAAGAGTAAGTATCATCAAGAGAAGCCGTATAGGGAGAAGGTTATTGGAAGGATTAAGAGTAAGTATCATCAAGAGAAGCCGTATAGGGAGAAGGTTATTGGAAGGATTAAGAGTAAGTATCATCAAGAGAAGCCGTATAGGGAGAAGGTTATTGGAAGGATTAAGAGTAAGTATCATAAAGAGAAGCAGTATAGGGAGAAGGTTATTGGAAGGATTAAGAGTAAGTATCATCAAGAGAAGCCGTATAGGGAGAAGGTTATTGGAAGGATTAAGAGTAAGTATCATAAAGAGAAGCCGTATAGGGAAAGGTTATGGAAGGATTAAGAGTAAGTATCATCAAGAGAAGTCGTATAGGGAGAAGGTTATTGGAAGGATTAAGAGTAGGTATCATAAAGACAGCTGTATAGGGAGAAGGTTATTGGAAGGATTAAGAGTAGGTATCATAAAGACAAGCTGTATAGGGAGAAGGTTATTGGAAAGACTAAGAAGAATTATCATGAAAGTGTTGTGTTTAGGCAGAGGGTTAAAGAAAGAAGTAAAAGGCAGTATCATGGAAATGCTCAGCATAAAAAGCGTGTTTTAGCAGGTAACAAACTAAAGAAGCTGGAAATGAAAGAGAGGTCACAGCAGTTTGATTTTGTAATGAAGCAGTTTTTGGATAAAGTGAAAGATGGGCCAGATTTTGTATGTTGCGTCTGTCAAAGGCTGCTGTTTAGACATCAGGTTTTAAATTGTAAAAGACAGTATTATAGTAAGAAGACTGCTATCACTTCAGTTGCAGATGCATGTATTAGTGAAGAATATTTACACAAATGTAATCAGGAGTGTGCAATGCCATGTCAGTGGTTAGATACGCCTCGAGGCCAGCTGCATATCTGTTATACGTGTCATTACAAGTTAAATAGAGGTGAGGTTCCCCCTGAATGTGCACAAAACAAGTTCTTCCTATTCCAAGAGTATTGGCGTGTTTGGGTAGTTTAGAACAACATTTGATTGCGTTACATATTCCATTCATGAAGATGTTGCCATTACCTAAAGGTGGGCAAAATGGAGTACATGGGCCAGTTACATGTGTTCCAGCAAATATAGTACAAACTAATAATTTGCTGCCACGTTCTACCATGGAAGGCTCTTTGTTGCCTGTGAAATTGAAACGCAAGTTAACATATAAAGGACATTATGAGTATCAGTATGTTGACACTATGCACATAAGGCAGGCACTACAGTATTTAAAAGAGACCAATGTGCATTATAAAGATGTAGAGTTTAATGAAGAGTGGTTAAATGAGTTTTGTAGGGAAGCGGATAGTGATGCGATAGAAAAGGCCAGGGATTCTAATGTAGACAGTGTTGAAACATCTCCTGATAATGTGGATGATGAGCTTCTACATGATAGACAGCAGCATTGCATGTTTCAGGACACCTGTCTCATGCCTGTTGATATTGGTCAGGAAGTGCTGGATCAATATTTTGATCATATATTGAATGTGGCACCTGCAGAAGGAAACTCTCCTGTGAGATTGCTCTCTGATCCTGCTAATGAGGCCAAATGCTTCCCGGTGTTGTTTCTGGTTGTCTACATATCATGATGATAGACAGCATCGCTTGACATTGTCACGTTATTTTAATAACAGGATTTTACATGCTGATGGTAGATTTGCACAAAATGTTGAATATATCTTTTTTGCCCAGTACATGTCTGAGGTTGAACAGGTTGTGTCAAATGTATCTATAGCTTTACGGAAAGGAAAAGGAGGTGCTAAATCTCAGAAAGTCAGTGGGGATGTTTTGACCAATGAGGGATCTTTAAAGAAGCTGTTGGAATTTGATGATGGTTATCGTTTTCTTAAACCTATTAGAGGTACACCATCTTTTTGGCAGGGAGCCCAGCGTGACCTGTTGGCTTGTGTTCGTCAGCTCGGTGTCCCTACGTGGTTCTGCTCATTTTCCTCTGCTGATATGCGGTGGAAAAACCTTCTTTATAGTATTTTGAAACAGGAAGGTAGAACAGAGACTGTAGAAGATTTAGAATGGGCAGACAGATGTGACCTTTTACGTCGCAATCCTGTCACTGCGGCTAGAATGTTTGATTTTCGCTGGCATTGTTTTTTGAAGGAGGTACTGATGTCTCCATCTCATCCAATAGGCAAAATAAAGGACTACTTTTATAGGGTGGAATTCCAGCAACGTGGTTCACCACATGTCCATTGCCTGTTTTGGATTGAGAATGCCCCATTAATTGATAACATACAGATGCGGAGGTGGTTGAATTTATTGACCAGTACGTTACGTGTGAATTACCGGCCCAAGATGACGCATTGGTTGACATTGTTACATCTGTGCAACAGCATTCAAAGCGGCATTCAAAAACCTGTAAAAAGAAGAAAACTGTTTGTCGTTTTAATTTTCCCAGGCCGCCATCGGCAAGAACATTTATATCTCGTAGTGTTAGTGAAGACGATGACAAAGAAACATGTACGTGTAGGTTGGAGCATTGTACATGCAAGAATCAGGGACAGACAAAACCTGATAGGATGAAAAAAGAGTATGCAGTGAACGTCATGACTGCTATTAAGGAGGCTCTTTCAGACGAGGATGCTAGATATGACACTGTGGAGCAGTTGTTTAAACATTTAGGTATAAATCAAGCACTTTTTGAAGAAGCATATAATCGCTGTGGTAGGAACACACATGTCGTGCTGAAGAGGCAGGCAAATGAAGTCTGGATTAATCAATACAGCAAACCACTGTTAAAGTGCTGGAATGCAAATATGGACATCCAATATGTTGTTGATGCCTATGCATGTGTAGTGTATATCATTTCTTATATTTCTAAAGCAGAAAGAGAAATGGGATTGTTGTTAGGAAATGCACAACGGGAAGCAGCTAAGGAAGGAAATGCTAGTGCAAAAGATGCCTTGAAAAAGTTAGGGAGTGTGTATTTACACAATAGAGATGTGTGTGCTCAAGAGGCTGTTTACAGGTTAACAAATCTACATCTGAAGGAGTGTTCAAGGAAGGTTGTATTTGTGCCAGTAGGTGATAACATTGTTAAAATGAGTCTGCCTTTAAGTGTGTTAAAACAAAAGGCATCATCACATGATCTTACCACAGAAGATATGTGGATGACTAGTTGTGTCGATAGATATAAGAACAGGCCAAAAGATACTACTTTTAATGACATGTGCATGGCAACATTTGCGTCAGAGTACCGTGTTCTGTCTAAAAATGAAATGTCAAAGAATAGGATTAAACTAAACGGTGACTGTGGTTTTATTTTAAAAAGAACACGCACACAACCAGCAGTTGTTCGTTATGTTCGCTTTTCTGAGACAAAGAATCCAGAATTG